TTCACAGTTCAATCAACCAGTCCAGAAAACACAATCAAAATGGAAAAGATAAATTAGTTAGTATCTGGTTGGCTTGTTTTCATCTGGTAGAGCCCCGTGCAACTAATCAGGAGAGAGCAATTTTAAGTCCTGATACCTTTACTCATCGTTCATGAAGTCGTCATTCGTCTTTGCGCGAATGATGACCACGATAGGAGAGGCTATTGCCCAATATCCAAGAGTTTATTCACCAAAATAACTGTGTTCATCTAGTTCATATTGTTCTGATCAGATGAAGCATCAAAATTTAGGTTGCTGGATAGTGTGGACAAAAGCATTTCCAGTCATGATTCTCCATTAAACCTGACAGTTTTCAGACTAACACATCAAAACTGTGTTGCAACTTCTCATTGTTTAAATTCAAACAAAGTGGATCGGATTTCATAAGGGCAAAGTATGTAAAATTATACTCGGGGTAAAAGAAATTTTGAAGAGGTTTCATATCACACAAGAAAAAACTTCGTTTGTAACACATACTTTAAACCTGCAAAATAGTCATTCACATGATCAAAACTGTTTCGGTTAGTTACGCTGTGGCTTTATCTAATGACAAATGATTTCGCAGAAATGCTTAGAGTGACGTGGTTTTCATTCACAAAGAATAAACTTACGAACAAAGACTCGTAATTCATTTGCAACCTTGAGTTTTCTATTCAAAAAATCAGTTAGTTGTAGTGTGGTGTTTTATTTGGATGGAAATATGTATATTTGTATGGAATTTTAATGAAAATGATTAGAAGTAGAAGTAGCTGAAGGACATGTGCACTTTTCTTCGAAAAATAGGAAGCATCCGGAAGTGCAATTCCTCTTGTATTCGTCCTGTTCTGATAAAATGTAGTATATTAGATATATGAATCGGATATTTTATCAAAGGAATGTTGCGTTTCAGATAGCAACATCCACATAGTAACTGAGCAGCATAACAGTTATAGCTTGAAATTCATACAGAAGTGTAGTAAAACCTTAAAATGTCGCTAAGTAGCAAGACATGACGACTGGGATTGCTTCTAGTACTCATCAACTTGATGAATGGAGCAGTTTGACATCGGTCAGTGATGTGATATTTAAACAATATGCAATATGATAATAAGTGTTACTTACAAAGAAGTGTGATAAGTTGTTATAGATGATTTCATATTAGTTTTTTTATTAGACATATCACACAGTGAAACAGTATTAATTACTGGATGACGTTTCGAACAAAATTTATTGCTTATAATCATATCACACTTGATATGATTATGAGCAATAAATTTTGTTCGAAACGTCATCCAGTTAATAATACTGTTTCACTGTGTGATATATCTAATAAACAAACTAATATGGAATTACTTACTACCACAGTGCCCAAGTTTTACACATATATTGTTATAGGTGAGCCTTCTGTTGTGACCAAGGTGACACTAGATTACGATTTATTCTTAATTCTACATCAACTCACAAGAATATACAACTGATCACTTAACTACTAATCTAAAATGCAGAAAGACATAGAAGAATGTCTAATATGACAAACAATAATTACTCGTAGGAGAAAGTGTAACGACCATAAATTACAGGTAAGTATATCCTACCTTCACATAACCAATAAATTGCTAGTTTAAGAGAAGCAAATCTAAGTTCGACGTGAAGTGTAATCTAGGTACGGAGTCGAATGTTTCGTCTACAGACCATGCGCCTAAAAACATGTCGCCATCCTGTCTTAACGCTGAACAATTTATCCTTCAATCTGATGTCAATCTAATCGCATGTGCAGCTCGTTATTCAGACTGCAAACGTTGATGAATCTAAACACAAGTATGATCAGTCTTGATGACAAGCTAATCAACTAACATATTCCCCTTTACAGCTTCACACTCGTTATATAATCGCCTATTCATCTTTGTTTACCCAAAGTCTGGTTGTATATACTCGTAGATGACAGTATATTTTGTTCTCAAGTGGTTACACTTACAATATGCGATCACTTTAGCCATATTTTTCTGATTATTAATGCTGTTTCTGAAGTATTCACAAGCCTAAGTGCATAGTTTACATATTTACAAATATTTCTCAGTGATAATAAAGATATTCAAGGTTATTCCACATCGTAAGACTTAATCCATGGTTCAAAGGTTCTAGATTGACTAATAATAATAACAATGGAATGGATTACACTTAAAACAAATTGATAAATGAATTTCGAGTGTTTCCATGGTGAATGCAATTATTTTCACATATTTCACATAACAAAATATACACATCAACAGTAGTATAATTAGACTTTCATAATTATTGTTAAGAGAAATGCGTCTCTGTGTTTCTTAGTTAACTGAGGAGGAGATAGTTGGAACTACTGTGGTTTGTTACTGATATAAGTGGAGACCTTGTTGGAAGGATAATTACTAGGAAATCAAATGCTGTAGCTATCTTTTTCATCAAATCACAGTCGTCATTCTCTGATGTCCTGTTGAGCACATAGATAGGGATTGTTCCCATGGCTTCCGTGTGGGACATAAGAATTCAGCAGCACACATACACTTTGTCCTACTGTTTTCCCATAGGCTATCATCTCCTCCTCTCCCATTCTCCTCTTTGCCTTTCTTGGACGCCCAGCTTGTCGTTTCCTACTTAAGTTCCATTCCAAGGCCTTGCTCGAGACGTTCTTCAACGATGTCCTTAGCGTGAGTCTGATTCACCTCCCTTTTTATCAAAATATTTGTTGGGCAACATGCTCTCGGTTGGTTTGTTCGCAAAGTCTCATGCTGAAAATCTGTTAAGGCTATCTGGCCTTCAATATGAAGCCAGCGAAGGTGGCTGTCGATAATAGTCTGCAGTATCCTGTTGCGAATGCCACTAATGATGAGTGGTGCAAGTTACTTACCCAAATAGAAGCAGTGACTAACTTAACATTGGTTATCAAAATCCCACTGTTGCTCTTGATGCTGAATGCCAGAGTGATGGTGGTCTGTGTTACCTTTCCATTTCTGGTTGTCTTTGACATCCTCAACCGGGTTGTTTGTTTATGATTCAAACGATGCTGTCTAGATACGGTAATCAACTGACTTATTTCAAATTTCTCCCGTTGGTGGTGCTTGGCGCTCATTGGCGCTGATTGTCTGTCAGGCGTCTTCACCACTTCCTTCTCCTGCATATTCCCTTGAAATCCTGTCTTTACTTCCAGCTTTACCAACCGAATTGGTGGTTTTCTCCTGTATATTTCAAGTTTGTGTGACTTTAGGCACAAATCATCCGGGAAGTCAAGTTCTTCTATAGCCTTCTTATCGGTGGAGCGTATTCCTGAATTGTCGCTTCCAACAGTCTCACGCATATTTCAGTCCACCACAACCAGTAATATCATCTTGTGTAGTAGGCAGACTTGTCGTACTCCTGTCTTCAATACAGATGCTTCGATGAACTTTCCGTTGCGCATCACTCGACCCTTGTCATTATCATGTAGTCAGCTGCTGAATGAGGTTGATAAAGATTTGGAAAATTGATAATGTTGAAGTCACTTCTAAATTACTTCGTGGTCAACATTGTGAAACAGTTTTTCATAGTTGTGGAAACTGAGGGAGAGATTTGGTTACCATTCTACTTATGATAATATTGATACACGTAATGATTCGTTGGGATTAGAATGGAACATAGGGCTGCGACAACTTATCACCAATTGACGCCTAACCGGTCACTCCCAATTTGATTTCATTTGAAGCTGTTCCTGAAGCGCGATGTATGAATATAACAATAGTTTCTATTCATCAGAACAGAAACGTAAATATTTATTACCATGACCATACTAAAGTGAAATAAGTAAGTCTATCTGCCTAATGACAGCCACTTTCCAGCAGTGAATCAATGGCCAAACTCTCTCCAGTAACTCGAGAGTTCCGTATTCCATTTTCATCCGAAACATTATCAGACGGTCCGGTTTAGCAACAACCTAAATGCAACGGACTAAATCATCCAGTTCATAGAAAATAATTGTACTGAAATCATTCATCTGTGCTACAAATCTTCTGTTTTATATGTAAATCAATATCGGCATAGGACTAGCAACGAAATCATGCGAAAAAAACACTACTATTACTAATACCTCAAAGACTGAACCCTGTGTCCCAAATGAGACGGAATGAGTGGGAACATACATCAGGACAATATCCGTTTCAATTAAGCCAATATTTGTCAAAGCCGTCACAGTCTTCACTTGAAAAATTTCATTCTCTGAGTATTTCATAATGTTCTGATATTACTCTGCATCTCAGTAATGATAAATTGACTGTAAATTTGTCTCTCATCGACTGAAGGTGAGTGCACTAGCATACCTTTGATACATGAGAAAACGACGTCTATTATTCCAACTTATGCTCAACATATCGTATTTGATGTTACCTGTAAGACACATTCATTTCATGGTGAATGAACCGTTCTGTGACTGTAAAACAGCCAGTGGTAAGCATACAAAAACTGAATCCCACTACAAAGATTTGCAAACTGTGCGGTGATCAAGGTGAAAACCTGAAAGCGAATCTCTTTGATATCAGAAATCACAAAACAGAGTTTATCTGTGACTATTAAGAAAAAGAATTTTTAGAAAAATGAGTCGAATCCACATTACCAAGAGCCACAGTCAAAGATATCATTTCTCGGTTCTCACGACCACCGCTGAAGTTTTGTGGAAGTGCGTGCAATAATTTCATTTTCATGTTGCTTAGTCATCGATGCTGACTGAATTCTACCACCATCATTTGTTTAAATATAATTTCTATATTTATATTCGTTGTTGCAATCTGTGCTATTCATTGCAAGTTGATTATTCGGTTTCGAAAGTGTAAGTGAATAAACTGACATACAAGATTAAGAAATATATATTCATGTGGTGTTCAGTGTGACAAAAAAGAAGTTGAATATTTCATGTACAACAACAAAACAAATGATCGTTGAAATTTTCTATCAACTATTTCACTTCCGGGTTCACAGACACGAGAGATAAGCTGAAATACAGTAGAACCACTTCCACCCAACTTATGAACGCTGCCCAAAGTGATATCTTGCTAATCATCTCAGTTTTAGTGTATTGTTGTATAGTTTGTCCAGTTAGATATAGAATCTGTTTAACAGAAATGAAATGAAATGAGGTAATGAGACATTAAATTACGTATATGCGATAGAAGACATGAAACATCTCTCTAATCAATCATATTGGTGTCATTTAAATACATCACAACCACAATGATTATCATCACAATTCCTCGAACATTGATGTACTACAATCAGCGTTTTCTGATGTCCAATCTATACAGATTCAAATAAATTGAGTATATGTAAGAAATTTTTAATAACTGTAAAAAACATGTGACTTACTAATATCAAACTCGTAGCGAGAAACTCTCCGAATGCTAGGTCGCGAATGTTTCTCTAGGAAAGGATGGAAACAAATAGTGTATCAGTTTTAGATAAAATATGTCGTATTGCTTCATTTTGTACGTTAATTACATTCACCGTATTTCTCTAGCATTCACTGCTTCATTACTGATTATCTTCACTATGTTAAGAGTCAACTATTCATATTTGTTGAAATTCAAATGAAAGCTACCACCAAACATCAATTTTACACTGATTCAGGATTGCACGTTCAGTGACTAATAAAACTGACTTAAAGCAACTGCACATTACGAAACACCATTCAATTGTTACATCTTGAAGACTTGGAGGGAATGGTGGGATATCTGAAATAATGGATTTCTAACGTTGCAGTTATACTTGCAACTAATTTCAGAGATAGTTATTCAATGCGAGAATACGATTATCACTCAGATATTGGCAGGAACTCCAATACTGTATCACTGGTTAATTTCGCACCGACTATGGCGTGATACTCACGTGACGTAGCGATGTAAGCTGACATGCAGAGGGTTCTGTCAAGTGACATTAGGCGGTTAAATTTCTAAGTTTCTATCTGGAACAAACAAGCTTGAAAACAATAGATGTCGAGTTAGCTGCTTAGTACAAATAAATATTAAAATACAAAAAGACTCCTTACTTTAAAGAAGTGTAGAAAAATAAACAGAATACCGCCGATGACCGCCAATAACATTGCAACATAAAATATAATCATGTACACATTCTCTGTGAGCCGTTCTGTTACATATCCAAGTATGACTGCACTGACAGCAAGAATTATCGCTGCAGACCATGCTAGTAGAGTCCATAATCCTAAGGATTTAGTTAGACTGGCAGCCGCAAAAGACCATGAGAATACCTATAAGATTGAAAGATCATAGTAAGTCAGTGTTTCCAGAATAAATATTCACATCAATTAGGCTACAGTAATTTTTGTGAGAGACATGAAACTATGAAAGCCTTCAATGAGTTTTAGATTTGTATATTTTCAAGAGGTTTGTATAGCGACTCATCGTTGCTGAGGGTCTGCAATCAATGGATGTTATAATGGGCTCTGGTGTAGTAGAACTCAATTCATGCAGCAGCGGCTAATAGAAAATATTATGCAACAGTAGGCTAAATTAATGTGGCTTTGATTCAGACGAATATTCAGTGTGCTCACCCTTCAACGCCTACATATTTGAAGATATTTAAAGATGTTATACACTATTCAGTAACTTATGAAGGCATTATTGACTAGGATATTCAACGTGAACTGTTTGTGGATTGACAAGAGATTTTCTTCATGTAATATTGCAGAAAGTATCTTCATATAACCTACGCATTCACAGCATGCATACAATTAGTGATAGGTCGTCAGTCTATACACGAATCGGAAATAACGGTCGAAAAATCATTTGTAGTTCATTTACTAACACATTCGTATGCAGCACTTATGTGTGGCTCAAGGATTATGGTTAATCCAACATGTGATCTTAGGTGCACAAAGTGCTTTGCACTTCTGATTTGATCTAACTAGAACTGTGAGTGTATAAAAAATATGTGATAAGAGACATATGTACAAGATTCCTTTACGTTATGTGAGCACTGTTCTTCTGATCTGATTTCATTATGGTAAGTTCAAAATGTCTTTTGTGAATAGACATTCAAATATACAATATATTCACAAATGTGGTGTTCAACAAATATTGAGGCGCGGAATTTATTTTCGACTATGTAAAACACTCTTGCACAGTGACACTGACTAGAAGTACAAAGATCGATGGACAATATCAATACATTCTTCTGTTCAGTAATTTGCCCATCTTCCTATCCTCAAAGAAGAAGTCAATCAGTGCCAACATGAAAACCATCTTCTAATTATGTGTAAGCTGTACTTCATCCATGTAGACTAGAAATGCTACTTTCAATTTCAAATTCATGCATATTTAATTGTGTTCAATGATCAATGCTTTTCATGAAAGTAAGACACACACAAGACATAGCAGAAAACTGAACTTACAGTCAATAAAATGAGTACAGGATTCACCCCCCGAATTTTTTGAAGTTTCTTGACCAGAATCACTACTGCCAAGGAGATTAAACCAACAGCTCTGAAGTGGGAATAGTGGATGCGGTTAGTCAGTATCCAGAGATTGATCATAAGTGCATCAAAAATTCTACAGTAACCTGTTCACTAGTATGATGGTGTTCGGGTACTCATATAATGGAGACAATACATATCATTATTGAAGTCAGTCATTTGACCAATTTTCAACGATGTTTCAGAAAACAAAATTTTATAATTATATTTCAAGCAACTCACAAAAAGATGATTGGCACGTAGACTGCAGAAAACAGATTTCCAATAACTTCCCTGAAAATAAAGAGATGTGTAGAAAAGTAATTAAAATGCATTCTTACAGACTCGCCACTGACACCGTGATAATCACTGTCACCGCCACCAATATACAACAATCGACGAAGTACTTGAAAGAAATGCGAACATTTGCTTTTAGTTTTCAATATTGAAGTACATACCATTTCGATAAAGCTTTTCTTGGGATTTTCTTCATCCATTTCCTCACGGATTGAGGAGTTGTCGATATTCTCACCAACACTTGATGTCTTTTTCATGTCCACTATTTTCAAATGAATCCATAAATGAGACATTCAGAATGATTGTTATTTAAAATATTTCAAGAGGATAGAAAGCAACTTTTACAAAATACACACAAGGAAGTAAATTCTACGAAAAACTGAATTGAAGTACATATTTCCTGTTAATTGGAATCATATTTCAGTGTGAAGATATGAAAGAGGAGTGTTGAACACCACTCTGTCTTAATTTGTCCTCTATTTCATGGAAATATAAAACGATTTTCATTCACTATCTGTTGTCGAACACCTTACTTAAACACGCAGCTAGAACCAATTTAGTAGATCATTCATTGCTCACTGTGCCTATCACTTTACCTCAGTTCAAACACAATTGAAGTACAATAAAACACTCTTATCTTAACAGATATCAACGTGAAGATGAATCGAGAATTTTCTCTATATAACCATATCGAGAAACGTGTGGTTTCGTGTGTCTGGATTCTTTCATTTCAATGTCTAAATCTAGTGATCAATAAAATGTATCTATGAAATTAGAAACTGATGTGTCAGCAAAATGTAGCCTGTTCAATATTCACCTAAATTTTGGAGTTAATTTGTTTTTTTTCAACTTGATAAACTGATCAATATCAGAGGACAGTTAAACTTACATTATTTCATACTCAGCGATTTACATCACGTTGTATATTTATTCATATATATGACACAGTGATATGGGATCGATGACATTTCGAGCATATTTTACTGCTCACAGTCATGTCAATTTATGCATGGCGTTTTAATCTGCTTTACACAATTTTGTTAATGCTCTTATTATTCATTGTAATTTTCCATATAGCCAGTATAGGCGTAGTGTCATTCCGACGGAATGGATTTGGTGTTGATTCAGTGAACAAAGATCCTAAACGCTAACCTTCCTCTTCACATAAATATATCACTTTATAATATTTCAGCCTACCTTAGCATATTGTGTGATTACAGGCATGTGAATGAACTGTACTGACCTGAATATTATGCACACTGCTTATCTATTTCCAGGTAAATGTCTATTTCACGATAATCTTATTGACTTTGATCTATTAGTCTCAACAGAATAACTGACCTGATAGTCGTTATATCATATTCGGTGGATTCTATTATTTTTCGAAATTGCATCTGTCGAGTCTCTGAGCCGACAATTTTATGTCTGAGAGAGTTGGTTAGTTTATATACTTCATTAGGAATTCTAGGTGAGATTTCTCATGTTCCTTTCTTATTTATATGTATGTATATATATCGCAGTATTATCGACGCTTTAAATGACATTATCTACTTAATTTCCATTATTTTCACTACCACTATCATTCCGCTTATGCACCTTCATCTACTTTTGAAAAAAGGACAATAATATAACAATGATTTTGATAGTCGGATTGATGTTGTGTATAAAGTTCTACCAGGTGGTGAGATGCTTTTGTTGAGAGCTGTGGTATACTCTGTCGAATTCTATTTACCATAGCTTTTATTGAAATCTTGGAAAGAATTTCTTCTAATTTCAACGAGACCAGATAAGAACACTGTTGTAGCAGTTTGGACTGACGTCACCTATAATATATTCAGTCTTCTAGAGGAAAACACAGAATTTAGAAAAAAATGACATAATGGCAAAGATGATAAATGGAAAATGGGAAGAGAAACATGATATCTCCCCACTTTTCCGGAAGTCCTCAGTCTGTACTGAATATCAATCTGTGGTAAAACTTGGAAAACAAATCAAATCCGTAGAAAAAAACTCTTTAAAGTATATTAAAGAAATTTTTATTGGTGTAGAAGAATCCCTGATTTTGCAATTTATTAACGAGAAAATTTTAACTTGTCTCCGGACCACCACTTCTCACGAGAAGAGACAGTATCGAGATTTGATAACCGAATTAATGAAGAAACAAATTACTGCGGTTGAATTTCCGTACACACCAACTTCAGTCTCATTCAGTAAACTACTGACAAACTGTTGATACTATGTAAAAATTCAGTAAACATAATACGAAATGAGTCTACACATGATGATCACCCTTCAGTCGAGTACTGCCTATTCATTTTACATTTTACAGTTACTAATTTTGTCCCTTGGAATAGTCCATTTAACGCGATTATTGAAACCATAGACTTGGTTATTATGGCTTTTAACGATGTTCCTAGCCGATGTGGCAGTGAAAGTGGGATATTCAATGAAGCAGATGACTCATAAAGGAGACAATAATATTACGATGATTTTGATAGTTGGATTAATGCTATTAGGTGTTATCCTGTTAGTTGCGGCATTCTTTTTAAGGGTCAGAGTGATTACCTGTTTGATTCAGCAGTGTGTTTTCCGAGTAATTTTTTAATAGTTGCAATAATTCCTTTTACATGTGTATCACGATTATGATTCAGAAATTATCACTGGTCATGTTGGCTGTCAATGGAATTTAATTTAGCAATGAATGACAAGTTTGAGGGTTGAAGATTTAATCTACTGTATCGGAATCCACTTCTTTTATCCTCAGGTGCAGAAATGAATATGGGTCATCTGGATCACATTTTCACAGAAGTAAATAACGTCGAGTTCAACCGACTAACTTCGCATTAATGTCATCAAGATGGAACTCTGTCTGCTGAAATGCACTTCAAGACTTCGTTAACTGTTTGAAGATGATCTAGTAAGTGTGTGTGTGTATGTAGGTATCAAATGAGACTAGTTAATCTAACAGTTGAATGCACACAATATTTTAAATAAATATTCGGAGGAGTAAAGACGATATTTACATTCTCTGCTTAGTGTTTACCAGCAAACGTAAGCTAACAATTTGTATTCTCTATTTGCAGGTGACTCTATAGATAATTCTTAGAACAAACGGGGTGTCAATAAATTCTTCTTCAGGCTCTACAATTATAAATCCATTAATTTAAGCATACAACAGCCAGTGAAGGCAAATCAGAATCATATCAGAAAGTGCATTGTGGGACAAGTATAAGATGGGATGGAACAATAGTCAGTTAGTTTTGAATATGCGTGGTCAATGAGAACATGAGATGAAATAATTTGATCATATTTGTGTATAATTATATAGTCAACAAAAATACTGGTATCGAGAGTGAATGTATTCAGTCGCATGTGAGACAATATGAATACTACAGAAAATAAACTAACGAATGGGGTGGACTAGACATAAGTTCAAATTTGAAAATAATGACAATAATTAGGATTGTAAAATGATAACGATGATGTGGTGTAAACTTAAAAGTGCTATAAGGGAATTATCATCAAATATTATTAATAATAATAAAGATAATGAATTTAGTGAAGTGAAATGAACAGGATTGTGTAAATATGATGACAAGTAATAAAAGCATTAATCAAACCTAAGGTTCAACAAACTAGCACGTATTTCTTCGGTTGAAAATAATCAACTAAAAATCCCCATTTAATTGAGAGATGGTGACTAGCAGTGGAATCCAGGATGCGTATTTCCTCCTATTTGAGACTCGTCAGAACAAGATTATCATGAACGAACAGTCCTTTTCGAATAATTCTTCTTCGGACTAAACAGTAATAAATCCATGAATATTATAATACAAATAGCCATTGAAGGCATGTGAAAATAATATTTCGGAAACTGTTATTGAGGTACATGCATGATATCGAGTGATAGTTCGGTATTTATTACTGCCAAATGAACGTAATCAAAAAATGTACAGTCATTCAGAACACAAGATGAATAGACAAATGGGTGACATGCTAATGTATTCATAGTCAACAGAATATAAGTTTCATTGGGGTGTGTGGGTGAGTTATATACAATGATAACCACAAATTTCACACAAACAAACACCAAAAGGTGGGGAACACTGAATGCAAGTTCGAGCAAGGGCTGACAGAAATCAAGTGTAATGATCAAAATAAACAGGTTAAATTGTGAACTGTAATAACATACTAGAAACATACTCAGCTAAGTGTAAATTACAAAAGGTTGACAGACAGTCAAGGTCAGAATGGAGTAATGTGAACTAGATGAAAAGGAATGAGAAGGCATAGTATGACATGAAAATATGTATGCTTATGTCTTTGCTGACCTAATAGTAGGCCAGGAGGATCGTTATATGTGTATTGATGTTACTCAGTGATTACAAGCAGAAATCTCAACTAGACCAAAGCTGACCAATTCGTCAGAAGCATGAGATTATATGATGGCCAGCAATCAAGTCTGTTAGATAACTCATGACAGGAATATACCTTTACCACTGTGTGATAGACGATAGCGAAATTTGATATGCAGTCATAAATTATTACGAATCTATATATATATATATGCTGATAAGTTGAGATCACTGAAGTACACTGTTCATTTTCATATTTGTCTTTCAGAACATTTATTTTTGTCGTCAGTGTAATACTGTGCTTCAAATACAGGAGAGACTGGGAAATTGCACAAATATTCCTCGCAGCAGTGGTGAGTTCCCAAGAAGATTAACTTGATTAGTTTGCTTTTTCTACTAATGATTACTCCACGTTTGCTGGGCACATTAGAATATAGGTGAAAACGTGATTTATTTCGACAATGAAGCATGTTGAAATGGACCACTTTTAACCAAAACAATCTGTAGTGTGTGTGCGACAGCTTGTATTAATAGAATACAATTCTGTCATTTAACAAATGAAGAGTTGTAAAAATGAGAGATTTCAAAGTCAATCAGGGCACTGAACTCTTCTCTACTCGAATTCAGTCGGTGTCATATTAAAGGAGACATTTTGTTGTTACCACATGTTACACGTACAAATGGTTACCACCAACTGCAGTAGTTTATTATTCACATCCACAACACCGGCGTATTGTAAGACTGCTGTAAATCTGACCAAAAGCTGCGAGACTACATTTACAAAATGAATGTCTGATGTAGCAGTGATTCTTTTGAGGTTTCATGTAGTATAACTTGCTGAGACGTTCATCTACGGTCAAGACATATATTTATACATTCATATCAGTTGATTTCAATGTCGAGTGGATCAATAATTAATAGCTTAGTAGCCAGTATTG